TGTTGTGTAGTATCCACCTCAACGCGTGCCAGGCTATAAGCCCATTAACCAGCCCGAAAATTTGGCCATTATGTGTATGTGTTCATGCTTTTCCTGTTTTTCTCTCTCTTCCTCTCTTTCACTCTCTCTCTCTCTATCTCTCTCTCTCTCTATCTCTCTCTTTCTCTCTCTTTCTCGCTCTCTGGCTCGCTCTCTCTCTATGGCATTTTGACGCGTCTGAAGTCATACCTCCTCGTATTTCCGAAACACTCCGTTTCCGGAACCTTGCGATTGACCTGAGAACTTTCCTGAAACCTCGGTACTACTGATCACAAATCGTCTAGCTCCCATTCCACTTAATAGGGCATTATTTAATTCATGGTTCATCAATGTGTTGTACCAAGTTACGTTTACTTAAAGAAAGACGGTGATGTACAGAATACCGGACTGTACTGTACATGACCGGAAGTTTTTTTCCCTAGAAGGAAGCAATTAGATTTTGTTAGAATATCGAACCAAGAAAGATAAATTAATTTCGATCTTTTGAAAGTTAGTATTGGAATCCAAAATTTAAATGTGGCCCGATCGTCTAGCAAACGCATTAATGAGAGGCCCAAACTACAAAATAAAAATGCCGAGTGAGGAATCAACTTTTTCCTGTAAGTCTAGAAATGCCTAGTAACATAATTATCATACACATACTGTTTTTTACAAGCTAAAGTGAACTAGATTTTAAGTGGAAAAACAATAAGAAAATGTCGAAAATCGGTCGGTCTTTTTTGTATTTTCCAGGACAAAGTACGTTTAGGTTTACGTCCTGGGATAGCATAAAAATTGTTTATCAACACTTCCTCGATTTACCTTACCTTGGAAAACTTGCTCCTCAAAAAAAATTCGCCGTCCCGATACTACGTCATCAGTTTTAAAACCCTGAACTTTAAAGCATGCATAAGGCTTAAAAGCCGTTCTAACCGGTTTAAATCTATAGTATTTTGATGAATATTCCCGACACACCCCATGAAGAATTGTGAAATGCACGTTCAGAAATGCTAATATGAGACTAGAATTTTCAACGACCTGGATTCTCCTGTTGCTCCGGTCGCACTGGACTACCAACACCAGGACACCCCTCGCGTTTGAATTTCCCTTTTTTCCGGGCTTCTCCTCCCCTCCACCGCCACCTCCCGAACCCGACACGGCAATGAAGGGGCGTGGCTTGCATTATAAACGAATTGTCTCCATTTCACACACATACACCGCTCTTACCACGATCCCTGGACCTTTGGAAACCGGCAAAAACACAGACGGGAAATCCTTGTTTTCATGGGTTTCTAGGGGAGAAATAGAGTCTTGTTCCCGCGGAGATTTCTCTGGAATTAAAAATTTCCCTGTTTTCCTGTATACTAAAAAATTCTCTAGTGTTTGAATAATCAATTTTCTGATCGTCGCTTCGAAAACCATCAAAATAACCTGTTTAACGAAGAACACAGAATCGTCAAAACCAAAGATACGAATTTTTCGATACTTTCTTGGCGTGTTTCTAGAACTTTTGGCTTGAATAGTCCTTGAAATCGATTATTTTCTATTTTTCAAAGATTTTCGGATTTTCTATCAGTTTTTCTTCGATTCCCATTTTATCCGAATTTGAATTTTGATTTTCTCGAGTTCGGCCCGGCGAGGCGTTTGTTTCTGGCGTTCCACTCAAATTCCAAAACACCTGAACACTCTGATTCCAGCTGATAAGTGCTGTTAATCCAATTCACAAGCCGCCATACCCCGGAAAAGAAAATTTGCACTCCCGGGAAAACCGCCGGTTAAATCGAGGAATTGTCCCTACCGCTCACTGATTGAATTTCGATAATGTTGATTGAGGGTGGGGGCTGGCACCTGTCTATTTTCACCAAATTCGCTAGAAGCACTTAAAAATTGGCGGTATAGCATCATAATTCGTTTGCTTCCATCTCTCTCTCTCTCTCTATCTCTCGCTCTCTCTCTCTCTCTCTCTCGCTCTACCTCTCTCCATTTTCATTGCAAAAATAAAACCATTTAGTCGAAAACTGATTTTCCCTGTTTCAAGGAAACTATCGAATTTCAAAAATTCTGTTTAGCTATTTAACTAGGCTCTTTCCGGCCAGCGCAGCTTCAAGATCTAAAATTTTAGTGTGTGTCAATAACATCATCAAAAAACTAAAGGTTCGTCATCGAGTGCGTGACTTTCCCCCCCGTGGGATCCGCCTAACTGTCCCCACGGAACTCCGAAACTTTTTCTCTGTTTTGGTCTATCTGATCCGACCAGTTTTGTGATTACAGCTTTGGTTTCCCCAATTCTCTTCACGGTGGGGATAAGGGCTAAACCCGCGGGCTGATGTTGCCCAAAGAAATTTTCCGGGAAGAGAAGGAATCTGGGTGCAGATTTTACAGCCGGCTTAGTTAAGAAAGATACAGGAAGTATAGCTAGCACAATGCCATTCTCTCTCGTGCTCTCTCGCTGTCTCTCTCTCTCTCTCTCTCTCGCTCTGGCTCTTGATCACTCTAGATGATTGCTCAGTTTTTGATTGTGTGAACCAGTAATCCCCTTAAATTTTTCTTCCCCTTATCCCCTTACCGATTGTTTTCCTTTGAATAGTTTTACGAAATTCACAACAAATTAAAATATTTTCGGTTTTGTAAAGTGCATTCATTAACCCAATTTTCAAGTCCCAGCGGATTAACTGTCCAAGCATTTTGTGAGCCAATATTTGTTTCCGAAAATTACCGTTTAGTCCTTTAGGCGGCAATTTCTCAAACTATCACTGCTGGCTTACCCTGCCTATATATTTTTTCTGCTTATTTTTTGCCGCTTGATTTTACTGTTTTCCTCACACCCTCCCATTGCCATTTCCAGACCTAATCCAATTTTCACTGTCCCTCCTAAAGGCCAGCCGCCACGTGATTTCTCAATTTTCACGTGTTTTTTTTTCCCGCGGGCCTCCTCCCATTATTCCGCCTACAGAATCGGGCGGTCTGCTCCGAGGGGATGGAAAAGCCAAATTATCTTGGGGTGTGGTGACGAGGGGATGCGCAAAAAATGAATAGGGGAAAGAAGCCTCAATATTTTTTTGTTTGCGTCTTTGGTTGTCGGGTTCTCAAAGGGACTGTGAAGCGAAAGGATTCGAATCGGAACGTAGACGCGTTGCGGCTGCGTCGCGTCTGTGTTTTGAAGACGGAAAATTACATGATTAACTGATCATTTGGTACCAGAGAAAGCGAAAGGGCGGAAGTAAGAGAAACAGCGAGAGAGCGGGAGAGAGATAGAGAGAGTGAGGGAAAGAGAGAGAGAGAGCGAGGGAAAGAGGTTGAAATAGGGATAAAAACAAGAAAATGAACTCGGGAGCTTAAGTATTTCGACACTTTTGCCACGATTCTTATTATTTTTACGTATAGGCTTTTGACCCCCAACTCTCATTTTCTCCCTGTTATATCGACCGTAGAATAATTAACATCAAAAAGTATCCATTTTCATGTTTTCCCCCATTTTACCCACCCCATCCGTCCCTACGTTCTGCTCCCCGTTCCACACAACCCGTAGAAGAGAAGCCCCCACCGGCTCGGCACCGGAATATTCCGCACAACACCCCGTAGACGGCCAAATTGGCCAAAAAGGGGACGAGAAAGGGGGGATGAGGGGTTATTTTGCCGTTGCCACCGCGCACACAGCCGGGTTTTTGATAATGGCCGGCAAAAAACGAGCGGATGGCCGGAAACGGATCTACGATATAACACGGCAATTTTTGGCGTCCAGCGAGTGCGAATTGAAGCATGGCGTCGTGGTCGAGTAGATTTACGGGATAGCAGTACCGTACTACTATCGAAAATATTATTTTGTGGTCGCAGAACGATGGCGCTGAAATTCAAATATTCCGAGTGCTTCCGGGCATTACCCACCGTAATTTGTAGCTCCGGGTCGAAATTTCCGCGGAATTTATGAGTAAAAACATCATCCATTTGATTATTATTAGCTAAATTAAATAAATAATAATATTACAATCCAATTTTAAGACGGCTTCGGAAAGCTGTTAATTAAATTAACTTTTCAGAAATGAGCGCTAATCAAATTTTTTTTGTTGTTTCTTGATTTGTATAAATTCACTTCCTCTCAACCCTTTTCCAATGTTTTCCATTAGTGTTTATCAATCAATTATTCGTTTCAGCCACCACTTTCCCTCGGATGCCAATGTGATAATGGCCACATCGTCAGAATCGGAACTGCCGAGCCATTCATACGATGGGATGGCAGATCTCGGAAGGGACGTTGGAGGGGCGATGGAGGGAAAGCAGAACTACGATAATGTAAGTTTTACTGACTTGCTATCGCTCTCTCCCTCTTTCTCTCGCTCTCTTTCTCTCTCTCTATCGTTTTCTAGTCTGTAGACTTGCAGATCCAAATTGTTTGTCTCTGAGCACTTTTTCATCGAAATGCTCCTTTCGGAGCAAATACTGATCCACCGGAACCCCTTGATGAGCATCAAAAACAACCAAAATTAATAGCCGATCCACATGAAGCGCTGCTCGCTCTCTCTCTCCCTCTATCTCTATCCCGCTCGCTCTCTCTCACGCTCTCTCTCTCTTTCTCCCTCAGAAAATTGCTGCTCATGCTCACCAATCTCCTCTGATGGTGAAGCGCTTTGAACGCAAATATTTTGCCACCCACCACGGGGTCAGAATTTCTCTCCGTCTCTCTCTCTCTCTCTCTCTCTCTCTTCTCTAACCTCTGAAATATTCTATCCGCCAATGATAATGACACTACACCCCCCCCCCCCAGAAGCTATGCACATCGAATCAAGAAGCCAGAGAGAGAGAGAGAGAGAGAGAGAGAGAGAGAGCGAGAGAGAGAGACCATCATTTCACATTCAGACAACGCCCCTCAATTATGAAGGGGAGGTATCGGGGACTTGGAAATTCCAAAGACCCACGCTTGGGGTGCGGGCTACACCGAACAGACAAACACACACGCAGGACACGGAAAACTTTTCAGCCCCTAGATGGGTAAAGGTCAAAAGAATCAGAAATTCTGGAACGGGGGAGGGACAATAAATAACAGGCGGAACGAATAGGAAAACGAGTGAGGTTAGGGATTCCGGGCGGGTAAACTGTTTGACGGATAGGATAAGTTTGTTATGAGCGAGATTTCCATCGATACTTGAAATTCATAACTGAGAATGAATCAACAGATCACTTAACCTGAAGTTATCATGTCATTTAAGCACTTTCGAAGCACCATTTGGACGTGCACACGTCGGATCAGCAGGGGGTGGAGCGCCCCTACTTATCCATTACCTCTGAACTCGTAGCGTGCGCGTAGCGTTCGGCACAATTACCGTTGGTAAAGCTCTATCGGAAAGAGATTAGAGACGCACGCGGCCGCGACGTTTGATAAGCGGCGGAAGCGAGCGCGGCCTATCAAACGGCTAGTCGTGGAAGCATAGATACGTCGCGGCTGCGCTGCGTTTTCCGATGCGATGACGATGACGACAACGGATGCGTTGAGTGTCGCATCGTGGTAGCATGTATGGGGTCCCTCTCCAAACGTGAATCTTGAAAACTTGACACTTGAAAATTTCAATTCTAAAGAAATTAACGCAAATCATTATCGAAAATGGCTGTGTTTAACCAGAGTCCAAAAAAGCGGCGTAAGACCGTTGGTTACGACAGCATAACCTCACAATTTTTCCAGTTCTCAGTCCACTACGTCCTGCCCTACACCAACCACACAAATGTGCCCCTGATGGCCATCGCCGCTTTCTACGCCCTCCTGTTCATGATTGGGACGTGTGGCAACGCGGCGATACTCTCCGTTGTCCACTATGTTCGACATCAGGATCTACGGTTTGTCTTTAAAAATTTCACACATTCACAAAAATGTCAGAGAGTTTATCAGGGATGCAAAAAAAATTAATAAAAACGCTGATCTTGCTCCTCCCGATATTTCTCGCGCTCTCTCTCAGCCTCTCACCTTCCCTTATTTTTAACTATCAGGTTTCACGGATTCACGGAAATTTTTGGGACATTTTGGAACGATCCGTTTTTAGTTCCACCCTTCCAAACCTGATGAAAAATTCCACCCGGCAGTCCTCAGCTTCTTCTTTCGGAAACGCGTCCATTTTGGCACCCAGCGCCAGCACCCTAAGCCTAAGCATTCGAAAAACCACTCAAATTTGGTCGTCACATAGCAGCGAGGGACGGCGTGAATTTTCAAAACCCCACCGTTTGGCCATTCATCCCGGAAATCCTGATCCGCGCCCCATAGGGACTGGGTTTTTAGGTGGGGGGGTTGAAACCTGAGATCGTTCCGGGTTTTAGCTTGTGGCGCGGTACATTGAATAATTGAGATTATGTTTAGACAGACAAATAGGCAAAGAAAGAGAGAGACAGAGAAAGAGAGAGAGCGAGAGAGAGTGAGAGAGAGAGGCAATTGTGTCGTAGCCAGGGGGATGGCAACAATGATCATTGAAAGGCCAAAGATAGAGGGCGAATAAGAATAATTATTTGGATTAAAGGGGTTCGGAAGCGCAAGAAATAGCCCCTAAGTTGACTAGGTTTTGACAACGACGAGATGCTCCAAAAGACGCTCCATGGATTGAACGAAAAATTTAAATTTCACTATTGTAGCTCAAATCGGGCTTGTCTATTTCTAGTCCACGTAGGGGGATCGGTTCTTGCATCTTCAGTTCATTTAAAATCGATACAAATATGCAAATAGCGCCCAAAACCTATTCCTCACCTTCAGGGCAAAACACAACATGACGCTCGCCTACATCTGCATCTTGTGTATTGTCGACTTCTTGTCGATGTTGCCTCTGCCGATGACCATCATCGATCAGGTAGGCATACAGATTTTGCGGCCTTTTTAAGTTATTTACGGCGCGTTTCACAACATATGTCAATCATGATACCTATCCTAAAACTTCGAAAACTCAGAAAAATTAGTTAAACTGAATTTAGCGTCGGGCTCTCGTAGTCCCTACCTTTTTTCAGCTCCTCGGGTTCTGGATGTTCGGCACATTTGCGTGTAAACTCTTCCGGTTATTGGAGCACATCGGAAAAATCTTCTCGACCTTCATCCTCGTCGCCTTCAGTTTGGACCGATACTGTGCAGTGTGCCATCCACTGAGGGTAAGTTGACAAGCACAAACTACAATTTTCTGAATACTCGTGCTCGAATCGATGAAACAACAATTTACACTTCCATAACACCAGAATTTCTTTCAGTTAACGATGCGAAGTCAGAAGATCGTAACCCTGATGCTGTCGTCAATGTTCGGGCTGACCTGCTTGATGTTGTCGCCGATTTTGATTTTTGCGCATTCGAAGGTAAGGGGAATTGTTGTGTATTCTTACGTTTCTTGGTTATTAAATAGCCTTGGAGCAGTAGATATCGAAAACGGCCGCTATTTTCTCATTACGCACTAGGTCAAATCCTACTATATATAAAAAAATAGTGTCTGTGTGTGTGTGTGTGTCCGTGCCACTTTGCATGCAACTTCCGTCAGCGTGTTCCAGTAGTAGCTCAATAAGGGGGGTAGTTAGGGGTATGTTTTATACGTCATTAGGTGCGTAATGGCCGTGGGATGACTGCACACTAATAACATTTTCAAAAATTAGCTGTTTTGGACGTTAAAATTAAGTTTTTGTTGAAAAATCGAGCACCTTCTTTGTTACGAAACAATTAGCATAGACCGGAAGTCACGGTAGCCTATATAAGGGAAGAGGGGTAGCGTTTCTCATTTTTTCATCGAAAACCGTGAGAATTATGCAAAGTGAAGAATATCATGGGATCAGACGGGGCCAGGGTTGAAAAGTCGCGAAGCGGCTTTTCAACCCTGGTTACGCTTAAAAGGATTCTCGTGTGTGCCTGCGCGTCGACCGTATCAGTCGAGCCCCGGTCAGTAGGGAGTCGATTTTCAATCTTCGTCGCTCCTTGAATTTGAGAATTGAGTTTTGACTTTTTTTATAATTCACTCTAGCTTGTTTTCATCTTTCGTTTTTTAGTAATAATTACCGAGTCATTGGGAGCGTCACGTAGCTGTTTACACTCATGGAACCCAATCGTGCGTTTCTATGCCTCCTTAATCAGGATTTTAAGCCGATTCAAAATGTCCGAGTTAATCTGGAGAAGGTTCACCTATTTTTTTTATTTAGACGTATTCTTTTCCATTTTATGCTTTTCTACCACGGTTGGTACTAATTACGTCCCCAAAGATCTGGTTCCCCGTAAGCTTCCTTGTTTTCCCACCCAATTATTCCCGTCTAGACGTTGCAAAAGAACACGTATACAAATTTCTCAACAAAAAAAATAACGATCTCTTCCACTGAATGAAAATTATGATGTGATCCTCGCTGCTTGGGGCAGTCCAATTATACCACCACCAGTTTTGCAACTGCAATGGATTAGAATCCACGGTGAGGCGAGAGTGCCGGAAAGCAAATAGGTATCGCGGGGCAAGAAGAAGAAATTGAGGTTCAGAAATGGGCCCCTCTCTTTTTTCTGGGGTTTTGTGGCCCCCGAGGCTATTCATGACCCCCGGCGGCCCCATTCATTTTGATGCGAATAATTGGACCCGCCGGCCTGGCCATAGGCATAGCGATTGCTCACACATACACACCAGGAGGTACACGCAAAACCAATGCACGGGGCATGAGAGGGGTGAATTTTGGTATAGGGATCTGAGGGAAATATCCTACTCTCATCCTACTATCCTACTATATATAAAAAAATAGTGTCTGTGTGTGTGTGTGTGTGTGTGTGTGTGCATTTGCATGCAACTTCCGTCCGTATGTTCCAGTCGTATCTCAATAGGAGAGGAAGTTAAGGGTACGTATGATACGTCATTAGGTGCGTAATTGTCATGACACGACTGCACGCAAGTGAGATTTGGAAAAATCAGCTTTTTTCGGTATTAAAATTATGTTTTTGTGAAAATTCCGCTCGGCCTCTTTGTTAGGAATCAATTAGCATGCACCGGAAGTGGGGGACAGCCTATATAATGGGGGAGAGGACGTTCTCTCTTTCTCTTTCTCAGTTTATGCAAAGTGCCGAAGTATGGGGGTAAGACGGGGGCCAGGGTTGAAAAGTCGCGAAGCGGTATGAATGTATAAAAAAATAAAAAATGTATAAAAAAAAATGTGTATAAAAAAAAATGTATGTATAAAAAATAGTTCCTGTGTGTCTGTGTGTGTGCATTTACATACAACTTCCGTCCGTATGTTCCAGTCGTATCTCAATAAAGGAAGAAGCTAAGGGTATGTATGATACGTCATTAGGTGCGCAATGGTCATGACACGACTGCACACCTATCAGATTTTCAAAAATCAGCTATTTTCGATATTAAAATTAAGTTTTTGTGAAAAGCCGGCTCTGCCTCTTTGTTAGGAATCAATTTGCATGCGCCGGAAGTGGGGAGAGCCTATATAATGGGGGAGCGGACGCGATTTTCATTTTTTTTTGCACAGGAATTTAGGAGTTTATGCAAAGTGATGAAACATGGGGTAAGATGGGTCAGGCTGAAAACGCGAAGCGGCTTTTCAACCCTGG